AATTTTAAATATTAATTTATTGAGTTTTAGTTTCAGTAAAACTTTTATGTGAATTAATAGTAAATAAGATGTGTATCGACATTTTCTCTATTACTTGAGAAAACTTGCAATATTAGCATAGAGTTTTGATACTCAAAAGAGAAACATTTTTAAGGCGATTAATGAAATAACATGGTAAACTAAATCGCTGAATTCAATTAATGCACTTTATTCTTTATATGCGATGATGTCTTCGATAACCCTCACATCCACCCTCTAATGTGCTACTGGCTTCTTTTTATTGATTTTGTCACCCATTTCATCTAATGCTCTCCCTTAGAATTTGAGTCTCAAGATAAGATTCTCAAATAAAAGATTAAAAAAATGCAGCAAAATCAAGAATAAAAGGACAACTTTTTCTTTGTATCGCTTTAGAGTTTATATTCATAAGTGCACACGAAGACGCACGATAGCTAATGCAAATATTTTCAGCTGTAAAGGTATGGATAGTTTCAAGTATACCTGCACAGATATGCAATTGCAAGTCGAATAAGACTGTGCATATAACTATTTGAGTGTCGATGCAACCTGGACAGAAAATAGTAGTAATGATTGCCCTTACACTGATCGATAGATTCAAAATTAAATTAATCATCTGTTGCAAATTTAGCTAGTCATTGTCCTACATTTTACCATCGATACGATATGTTTGAATATCGACATTTAATAGAGAATTGTGCTTAGTATTTCGATAATAACATTCTAATCTCGTATTCATCAGCATCGCGCTTTCGGGGGCAGATAATCATGATACAGATTTGTCACCTAAGACCAATAGAAAATTCTTGAAAGGAAAGAAGAGTATTTATTTGGTAAGAAAAATATGGAAATACAGGTAACATTGTCTTATAGTTTCAAACGATACCAGATGTGATTAAGGAAAAATTAAAGGAAACAAGATAAATTGTTTTTGAGTAGCATTAAAGCTGTTACTTTTTATTTTCAAAATCTATTTGTTGACTCGTCAAATTTCTTCTCGACTTTTTGATCTTATATCTGACATTTTTGCAACCATCTATAGTACTTAGATTAAGAAAAACTATTCTAGAATCATTAAGAATTTTTTACTCATGAGATCTTATTTATTGAAAAACTTTTCTTAAAAATTAACTTATTGTCTGTTGAAATTATTTGTTTCTTCAACAAATGAAGAATGATCGAAATTGATCACTTTTTTAATAAAAAAAATTGCAATGATAATAAATATCATTTATGACGACATTTTACTGACGATTGAAGAATGCAAAACATCAAACTTGAAAACTGGTGAGAGCCCGTACATACTACACGACAGCATTTTTTTCTTAACGTAAGAACTCAAAACTCTAAGTTTTCATATAGTAATAAATAACGAGACACTTGATACAATATAAGTAGAAGCCCTGCAGAGTTATATTCTTACATTACTGATACTCAGTGTAGTCTTAAGTCCTTATAGTCTAACTAGTTGCAGTCGAATCCTCTAAGAGCGTTCTTCTCTTTTTGTCTTATCTTGTTATTGTTTACTTCCTTTTAGAATTACCCATAAGAGTGTTATCTTCTCAAAACCTTACTATTGGTACTCTTACTTCTTATAGCACACTCTTCCTTACAGCCTTACCACCATATATAGATACTCCATAGTTGTTTTATTCCTTGGTTGCCTTACCCCTTATAATCTTATTTCCTTCTTATCATATAGTATTGTTCTCTCATTGCCTTACTTCCTTGAAGCTGCAACTTTCTATAGTGTTCCTCCTTATAGACTTCTTATTGTACTGCTTCCCTAAAGCTCTACACCCTTATCGCTTTATTCGATCTCCAAACATTTGCTCGAACCAAAGAAGCACATGTACACTAAGCATTATATCTATATATCGCCTTACGTCCTTCAGGATTTCTGAGCGTTTCAATATAATAGTCCTTGAGCATCTACGTTTACTTCTATATAATATCTAATCAGAGCTTATGGATTCTTCCATAGGATAGCTCCTAAGGATTTCCAGGCACCTCTATAAAATAGTCTATGAAGGCCTATGAGTGCCTCCATATAAAAGCTCTTGAGAGCCCATGTTTATTTTCATATAATAGTTCTTGCAAGGACGTATGGGTGTTCCAATAGAATAGTTCTAACAGCCTATTTTGATCCTGGATTCAGCACAGACACACGTATTCACACTGAACATTATATACATAGATTCTGATAAAACGGTGTATTCAAATTTTACGGTACTGGTCCATAAAAACCATTGTTAAATTTTACTAGACTAAATAATATTCCAACAAATCAAAGAAACCAATATAATATCAAGGGTGTAGATGCAGTATGGATTTAGTTTATAATGTTATTTTTGTCTTCGTCTACACTTACCAACGTCCGCATTCACACTGACAGTTAAAACCTTCACCTTCATTTTGCATAGAGGCTGTAAAAATATTTTTCATCAGTGTGCATACACTTTATAAGAATATAAGAATCAATAGTATATTGCTTTTTATTACTGTCATAAAATAAGTGAGTATATGATTAGCATTTTATCATAAAAATGCATTTTTTCTATAAAAAAAAGAGGTAAGAAAAAATGAACTATCAGGTATTAATGATCGAGAGGAAGAGCTGCTAAGTCAAATATTTTTAGTAGAGTAGCTGATGGAAAATATCAACTAGAAAGTGAAAGAAAAATTCGAGTCTCACTAAAAATGATAGTATTTTATCCCACAAATCAAACGACACTTTCCACATTCCTATATATGAAACTTTGTGACCGTCATATTTATTTTATTTGTTGGACTATTGTGCTGCACATTGTGATATTTAAAAAAACCAATGTAGTTGCTTCTTTCTTGATTATGTTAAACAATTGATTTTTTGTGAAAGGACAAAAATCTAAGTTATAAGCATTGTTGCTTTGTACGATTGAGCATATACTGATTAGGACTACCAACATTTTATTTTACTATTTATTTTCAGAACAAACTTTATAATGACAAACGCGTCTTTACTGACATTGCCTGCAGAATTGATTTATCGCATATTGAACAACCTTGATGCATGCTCCATAGTTTTTTTCGTTCGGACAGTGTGCAAGCGCTTCTATCATATTGTCAATTATTATGATCAATACAATTTAAATTTCGATTCTATCTCACGATCTCGTTTGAGAATCATTTCTAGTTTTATACAACCAGAAAAAATGACTTCATTAGTCCTTCTTAATATGTACTATAAATCGGAAAAAATTAAAATCTTCCTTTCATGCTTTGATACAAGTCAATTCGTGCAACTTCAATCAATTACACTAGGTCTGAATAATCAAGCGAATGAGTCGCAAGTTTTGCAGCATTTAAACACTTCTAACTTGATTTCACTAAATATTTATTCAACAGCTGAATATCCTAACAAAGAATTACCTTTTATTTGCAAGGTTATGGCTCAATCAAAATTTCGTAAAATCTGTTTAGCTGAATCACATCACAATATTACGAAAATATCTTGGCCAAATTCATGTACAGTAACATTTCTCACTATAAAATCATGTTCCTTCGAGGAATATAATCTTCTTCTTCAGCGTTTGCCACATCTACGAACATTCATTACAGCAAAATTTATTACCAAGAAATCGAATCAGTTGAACACGTTACCTTCTGCTGCTACATGCTACTCACAATTGATGTCATTGATGATTTGTAATAGTTCTCTATCAATCACTGAATTTAAATCACTCCTCTCCTTAACACCATCGCTCATTAGACTCCAACTAATTTCCTACAGATCAAATTTGGATTCTATTGCAAATGGTTCCGATTGGGAATATTTAATTCGAAATATGTTGTCAAGTCTTAAAACTTTTGAATTCTTTTTTTCTTACACTTTACGGAAAGGAAATGATACAGAAGATCTTACTTTACTTATCGATCGATTTCGAACTTCATTCTGGTTGCAGGAGAAAAAATGGATTATCACATGTGACTATTTGCTAGAGGAAAATACTATCAATATCTATACAACACCTATATGCACTAAAGATTTCGAAAAAAAATTGGAATCTATAAGAAAAATGAATCTATGTCTTCCTTTTATAATAAGATTCAAATCATTGTCAATGGATGATCAATTCAATTCAACTATTCATCTTATACGTGGCGCCGATGATGTTTCACAATTACAGGCATGTAGTAAAACTACGGAGAAAACAGTATTTTTCATTTTCTTTGTAAATATATGAGAAAAATTGTAGAGGCACAATTACAGGATGTATAGTTTACTTTAAAACGATTTTCATGGACTTAGTCTTCTTTAGTGACTTATTAAAATCTCATAATTCTCATATTAACCTGATTCACTCGGACTATGTATGTTTCCCTGCACACTTAGTTTAAATGAGTGTTGTTTATGTGTCGTATACGAATTTGTTGTGTTCTGTTTGCTGACTATTCGTTCACCGTTTTATTATGCACACATAGTGATATATAAACACTGTGATTGAACATAAAAAGAAATTTCAAATTATTCCTATTTTCTAGATTATTTCTCGATTATTTTTTTTATCGAGCAAATGCCAATCTCGATCCATAACTGAGAGAAGACTGCTCTAAACCGATCTGATGTAAATCGGATCAAATCAATATTGTGAAGATTCCAGAATCTTACCAGCTAGAATTTTCGGAATATGACTAACTGAACACATGCGACACATTTTGAGTTAATGTGTAATGATTAGTTTTTGTATAGAAGAGTACTTTCGTATGAAATGCTGGAGAATTTTGAAAAGGATATTTTACAAGTTTTCGAGAATGAACTTTTTCTATTATTCCTCTGTACTATTTTCTTCTGGTCTTACACATAAGTTGCAGATACATTCACTTTTAGAGTATTCATCCTTAAATCTTCATAAATAAAGAGCGAGAACTCGTAGAGAAATCTGCAAATTTTTCTCATGTATAATTTAAGTAAAATTTATTGTAAGGCTTATCCTGGTACACTTCTGGTTTAATTGCAAACTTTACACGATGGTCACAGACTCATGAGATATTCTCGGATTCGATTAATTCTAAAATATAGTTAACTATTGTTTCAAAGTTAAAATTATCCCAAAAGTCGTAGCAAAATAAGTTTTTCAAGAAGTTTCACTTCAACTATACACAATAAACATTTACAAATTTCTCTACGAATTCACACTCTTTATTGATGAAACATTAAGCATAAATACTCTAATAGTGGATGTATCTGTGACATATGCCTGCGGTCAGAATACGACAGTATCGAGCAAAAATCGAAAAAGTTCAATTTCAGTAATAACAGCAAATATCGCTTTTCACGAAGACTATAAAATGATCTTTCCAAAACTATCCAGTATTTTGTCACAAGACATTCGTCTATACAAAAACTCATTATTAGGGTAACATGTACAGTCTTATTGGGTCAAATTAATAATAAGAACTATGAAATCTGAATAAGTCTATGAAAATCGTTTCAAAATAAACTGAATATCCTGTGTAATAGAAAACAGGCAGAATTGACAAAATGTGACAATTGATACCCCATATACGGAAGGCAAAGAGCACTTCAATATTATGTTAAGATTGTTAAAGAGAAAGAAATATGAAGAATATAGTCGGAGTTTCTAGTTTTTTACTTGCTGAACGGTAGTTAATAAAGAGTATCAAGCATGCTAATTTTAGCCAACTTCAATGTTGCACTGAAAAGAATCTATAAGGATGAAAATAATCTCTCTGATTAATAAATTCTACTAAAAAAATTACTACAACATCAACTAAAAATTCGGACTTCCACCAAAATACAAATCATAACGATCCATTTTCACACCATTTCAACTGTCACTGTCAATTACTTCACTAATGTCTTTTACAAAGTCTTACTACTGATGAATCTATACTTGGTTATGAGATGAAATAAGTACTTACTACAAAATATCAACACTATCGACGGAAAAATTTTATCTTCAACAGCGAATCATTTTATCAAAAAAACATCTGATTATATCTATTATTAGTATAACACTAAGTAATTCAACATTCGTGAAATGTTGTTCATGATCATCGATATCTTCATTTTCATTAAATATTTTTGTTGATGTATTTGCTTTTTAATATAGACATTCAAGAATTTGAATTTAGAATGTCAAGATATTAGAAAACAAGGCGCAAAATATCTGTCTTATGTACTACAAAACAATAAAGTGACTATCAGACCTATTCCCTACTTACACAAACTTTGTTCATTGTTACTATATAGACAATCCGGCGTATTCGACTAGGTTACAATGATCTAGGAGAAGAAGGCGCACAATTCATTGGTGAAGTCTTAAAAAAAAATACGGTAAAATTTTTGATGTTTCTGCATTTCATTCTCAATGTATATTTACAACAAAAAGACACTAACTTTCATTAGTCTAAGAGATAATCAAATCGGAGTTAATGGAGCATATTGTCTGAGCAGTGGATTGAAAGAAAATTCGGTAACTTTGTTTTTCGATAAGCATATAGTTGTTTATTTTATTCGTTATTTATTACGTAGGTGATTCAGAATATTGATTTAGAAAACAATAAAATCGGAGAAGATGGTACAAGATATATAGCTGAAGGGATCAAATCTATGAAGGTAATTCTTCATTGAATTTCTCGTCTAGTTTCATATTATCTTTCCTTACGTGTTCACATCATAAGACGCTTACTGAACTAAACCTTGGGAAAAATCAAATCGGAATCCGTGGAGCAGAATATTTGAGCGATGCATTACAACAAAATATGGTTACTATCAATTATTTCTATTCTATTCAGAAGAGTCGATTAATCTTTTTTATATAGGTCATCAGTCACATTTGTCTAGAAGACAATCAAATCGGTGATGAAGGTGTGCAATTTCTAGCTGAAGCATTAAAAAACCACACGGTAATTTTCTAATTGAGAGTTCTATGCTTGACTATGTAGCTTTTTTCTCTTACTAAAGACACTTGTGTCACTTCATCTTGGAAGCAATAAAATCGAAATCAACGGAACAGAGTATCTCAGTAATATATTACGAAACAATACAGTAACTTTTACTCATTTATACTGTATATAATCAGTTATATGATGAATTTTTACATAGAAAATTCGTCGTATTTATCTAGACAATAATGAAATAGACGATGAAGGTGTGCGATTGATCGCTGAAGCTTTAGCAAATAATGAAGTAAATTGGTTTTGTTCTATATCTTTTGTGAAATTCACGTATATTTTCGGGGAAAATAGTGAGTGGAAGTTTTAAATTCAAATTTTGGCTGACTCCCCTTCTCTGTTCCCATTACAAGACCTCTGTAATCGCGCCTAAAAGACTATAGATACCATATAATATATCACTGACTTCATAAGTATTCGAATAAATACTATTTTCCAATAAATAAATCTTGTATCAGGACAATTAGTTTAAAGAATATACGTGAGTTCCACATTTCAGCTCCTTTGGAGCCGTGCTAATAACCTTTTATGTTCTGTTTTTTCTCATTCGGAAATAGATACTGAATTCACTTTCTCTCGGAAGAAATCACATTGGAACTAAAGGAGCACAATATCTGGCCGATTCACTGCGAAACAAATCGGTAATTATAAATTAATACTTTTTTTTATTAAGACATATAGTTTTGTGTTTTGTTGAACTGCCTCTCATAAAAGAAAACATCAATTTTGATCAAGCTTTTTTTATATTGTTTCGCTTGTTAATAAAAAACTTTCTATACAAATTTGATGCTTGCTTGTTTCTAGCTTATTCTGCTTTCTCTGACTAATAAAAATTAAAAATATGCAGTTAAAAATCTCGATTTTTATCCTTCTCTTGAATACTGACAAAAAAAAGGTACTGAACGATATCGGTTTCGATTAATTATTGCTTTATTTCATGAGTATAAAGAAGATAATATATATGCAAAATAGTAGCTTGATATATGAAACTCAGCTATGCATAACGGAACAATGATATACTAGTTGTTTCAACTTTAGTAAACATCGTACAATATAATTTCATCTTCCAATGTTTTAGTATTAGAAAAATAAATCTGTGAATTACATTAAAACAAACAATAGTTAGTAAAAAAAGAACTGAATAAAGAATAGCATAAATGATAAGAAATGTTTCATTTAGGACCTTCCCTCACCCCTTACAAAACCAATTTTTTCCAAACGATATCGAAATTGAGTTTTTACCACAGAAAGATAGAGCAAAGCTTCCTCTTTCAGAATATATATAGATTTTTCGAAAATGGTCCGTTTTTCAAAGACTTTAACTTCCTTACCATATTTTTCGACGAAGTCACGTGGTTTTTCACTTTTGAAAAAATTCGTTCCTGCTTCAAGTATCATTGAATACAACATTTTAATATTCACCCGCATATCGGATGGCGTTAGGTTTACTGCATCTTTTACGTGCCTTAAAATAGTTTTAGAAAATTTATTGGAAATGTGTCGCATCAATATGAGTTTTCTGAATTTGACTCCAAAAAACTATTTCTAAAACTTCTTTAAGGTTTTACTCAAAACATGATTTCCAATCAAAAATTTTGTCCGAACGGATTTTTAAAATTTGGCTCCTGGGCTGAGCAAAGTGAAATTTACTGTCGTCAGACTACCATTTTTTCTGCTCCTTACAGTAACATGCTCATAAAAGATAAACAAGATGGAGTATCAAAATTCTATTCGGACAAAAGTTGTGTGCTGGCATGTACTTTAATTCGAAGCTACAGTCCGAGCTCTCTACCTTTTGTTATGTCGCAGTTATACCGATTTTCCTGAAGGTCAAAAATGATCCATGCATCAGTTTGAAACGAGGTTTAGTACGACAAATTAAGTTGAAATTTTTACCAGTAGCGCATCTCCCCAAGTTATCTCTGAAAATTTCAGCATGAAAGAACCGTCAAAAGTGAAAAATCGCTTCTGAGGTAGGGGGCCCTACAATAATAAACAGTACAATATCTAATTCAAAAATGTTCTCAATTTTTATGATGATTTTCATAATTTTGGCCGACAAAAGTAGCTACTTTAACAACTTTTTCGACATGAATTCTCTCATTAGAGTATCCACTATTATCATTCAACTAAATGATAAGATAATTTTTTTCATTATGCCTATCAACAGGAGTTAAACATACTTGATCTTAGAAATAATACGATTGGAGGCCAAGGAGCCCTTTATATAGCCGACGCTTTACGAGAGCACACAGTAAGTATGCATTTTATGTCATTTTTATGAAAACTTTCATTATTTTGTTTGATAGGTACTAAGAATACTAAATCTTAGTTCCAATGAAATTAGTACAGCAGCTGCAGATAATCTCTATGAATCTTTCCAAAATAAAAATGTAATATCTCAACATTCATGTTTATTCAATACAATTCAAGTTGTTTTTTATACATAGAAACTTGTGCAATTTGACTTAAAAGATAATGAAAAATGTGATGCTATTGCTATGGATGCAAGTTTTCAAATAAGAAATAACAAGGTTATTTTCATTCATTCTATACCATTCCGAAATATTTACATATATTTTCTAAATAGAAAACTATCGCATTAGATCTTCGATCAAATAATATTGGAGATAAAGGAGCCAAATACATTGCTGATGCCTTACAAAATAATACTGTAATTAATAATTATTAATTGTTTGTATATGACATTCTTTTTATTTAGACTCTTATGAAACTTGATCTACGATCAAATAATATTGGAGATAAAGGAGTAGAAGATCTCTTTCATGGATTAAAAAATAATAAAGTCATTTTTTAAAACTTCTTTGCTTTTGTTGTAACTAGATTTTTTTTTCAAATAGACTTTGAAGAAACTTCATCTTACTGACCAAGGATATGGTCCTTCTATTGCCCTCGAATCAGCTGTCTCTATTAAAAGTCAGAAGGTCATTTATAATACTTTTTCCTATTCGATATACTCTTATTGATATTCTATCATATAGAAGTTAGAAAAATTGCTATTTTCATCAAGTCGAATTGGCAATAATGGAGTTCGATATTTAACCGAAGCACTACGACATAACTCAGTGAGTCTTATCAATTTTCACTTGAACAAGATTTCTTTGATGATTTTCACATAATAATCAATCTCAAGTTTCTTTTTATGCTGCTCAAAAATCAAAATATGATTTTTTAATTATTAATGAAATTGTGTTTTATCTTTTAGCATCAGATTATTTCGACAATTGATCTGTCAGACAATAAAATCGATGACGAAGGATTACACTATTTGACTGATGTCTTAAAAACTAACACGGTGAGTTTCTGTTGAAATATCTTCATTAATGTAATCTTGCTCTTAATAGTCTATTCATACATTAAAATTAAATACAAACTCTATAACCGATATGGGAGCAGCATATTTAGCTGAAATATTAAATGAGAACAAAGTAACAATCATGGAAAATTGATTTTCGTGTATGTCTTTACTTTTCTAGACTATAACTGTACTTGAACTCAATTCAAATAAAATTCAGGATAAGGGAATAGAAAATCTTGCTGATATTATTATTAAAAACAAAGTGAGTTCTTTTTCTTTTTATCTGCTATAGACTTTTCAAGTGTAATTCTTTTCTCTAGACACTTAAAACACTAAGTTTAAATAATAATCCAAGTGTTTTAGGTGTGGCATTAGAAAAATTTGTAACCGTACGCCATAACAAAGTATTTTCATTATTCTAATTTTTCTTTCAACTCTTCAATATTTATTTGTTACTAAAGGAGTTGAAATGTTTACAGATATGGGGAAAACATATAGGGTTAATTGGTGCAAAATATATTAGTCTCGGTTTACAAGAAAATACGGTTAATATTATCGATGATTATTTTCTAAAATATGTTTCAGTAATATAGACTCTTACTGAATTAGACCTCACTTACTGCAATATTGGAGAAGAAGGGATGAAAAATATTGCTGATGCATTAAATTATAATAAAGTAAACGTTCGTAAATTGATTGAATAAATTTTATTTTTCATATTATTTAAAACTAGGTATTAAGTAAAATCTGTCTTGAGCACAATAATATTGGAAATGTAGGAACTCAATATCTATCTGATGCCTTACAACACTATCCAGTATTTATCATATATTCATTTTGTATTTATTTTATTCTTTTTATTGTACTGATAGACTCTAGTTCGACTGTGCCTTCAAGACAATGGAATCGATGACCAAGGAGCTCAATATTTGGCGAATATTTTAGAAAATAATATAGTTAATATCAATAATTATTTTGCTTTAATATCGTACTCGTTCATTATAGACACTTAAAGAATTATGGCTTGATAAGAATAACATCGAGGAACAAGGGGCGAAACATCTTGCCGATGCACTGTTTAAGGCAAAAGTAATCACTAGTAACATGTTTCAATTATTTTTAGTTTTCACCTTATTGAAAACTAGGCATTAATCAGACTGAGTCTTGATGATAATCGAATTGGAAACGAAGGAACACTATATTTGGCTAAAGTATTAGAACATCATCAAGTATCTATCGATTTCGAACTCGATCACTCGTATCTATCGTTTTCTTATCATACTGATAGACTCTCACTTCACTTTCACTTGAAAATAACCGTATTGGAGACCAAGGAGCCCAATATTTAGCTCATGCTTTAGAAACCAATACAGTAACTATTAATCGCTAGTTGTTTCTCGTTTCCTTTTGTGTCTGTTATAGGTACTTACCAGTTTCGATCTCCGAAAAAATCAGATCGGAAATGAAGGAGTAAATTGTTTCGTCAATGCACTCAAAAATAACACGGTCAGATCTAAGATTATTTTAGTATTTGTCACTTCATTCTTAATTTAGAATCTGAAAAATCTCTATCTAGATGAAAATGAAATTACTGATGGTAAAGCTGTTTCAGCTATACTGAGATTTCGGGATTATGTAGGAAACTCATGTCTCTTGAATATTATTATTGTTAGTTGATCATTTGTTTTCTAGAACTACGACTGTCTTCGCCTCGACTTTTATGGAATGGAAGACAATTTAATCGAATTGTTGTCATCTGTTTTACAAAGAAATACAGTAATCATCCATCAATCTCTTGTTTAATATGTACTTTTACTGATTTTCTTTAGACTATTCAACACATCACTCTTATCACAAATAAAATAGGTGATAGAGGTGCACAGATTTTAGCTTCGTTAATAAGAAATTCTATGGTAATCACGTAACTTGCTTGATATATTCCATGATTTTATAATGAATATCGATAATAGAGACTCATCAGCTTAGATCTTCGATCAAATCATATTGGAGATCAAGGGGCTTCTTATCTGGCAGATGCTTTGATAAATAATACAGTAATATAGACTATTTTAAAATCTTGATAATTTTTGCTTCACAATTTGTTTTTCAGACAATGACTACACTTAAACTTCGTGGAAATGAAATCGGACCATCGGGCACAAAATATTTGATAGATGCTCAACAAAATCGAACAGTTAGTCTTTGTTAATCCTTTTAGCTTTGATCACTTATTTTTAAATTTAATTTAGACACCTATAGAACTAGAAATCAACGGTAAACATATCGAAGAAATCTTATTTCAGATTTTTGAACACTTTTCAATGAAAATATTATAAATCTCTCAGCTCTTCGATATCATTAGTGTTCCACTTTCACTCAATTTTTTCACTAATGGTATCAACACAATTATTGGCAATTGAATAGTCTATATTATCCAATCACTTAGAATCGCATGAAATTTATGCATACATAACTCCATGTAATTCTATAATCCTAGACATGCATCAATCTCAGGTGGTGCAAGTCTGATCGGGAACCTAGGCTAATTTGGTACTACTCAGCTCTATTGAGTATTCAGTAAAGCAGCCGAAAATTAATTCGATAATTGGAAAAAAAACTTTTCGAAATCGAGAAACTCGAATCTACTATCAGTTTCTTTTAATCCTCCTATGATAGAAGTGTTATTTTAAGAAAAATAAATTGTATTTTTCTTCAGTATGAAAGTAACATCTTTTTTTTTACGAAAACACTATATTTGAAAAGAACTTATTTTCATTTTTTAGTAACAAAAAAGTTAAACCAGAAGTTTAAAGAAAATGATAGCAGATTCAATTCTTTGAGACTGAAATTTTTTACATATAAAATGAATTCTGCTTGTCAGAAAAACCTTAGATCAAGCTCTAGAGTATTCAGTCCGATTAAACGGGTGCTTCCATACGTTATTCCAATAGTTCTGAGAGATTCCAGCAATTTTGAAGATCTAGAAGCAGCTTTTCTATCTAGCTTCAGAGTAAGTGCAATCACAGAATCAATTTTATCCCCTTGTTATTGTCTAATAACGTTTAAAATGGAATCTTATTCACGAATTGAACCAGGTCAGTTCTTTTTTTGGATCGTGCTATCAAGACTATTCTTACGAGGGAGAGGCACCAACTGATCAATCGCTTTTAAGTTGAGACTATGTATGTTATGTTAGTAAAACTGAGATATGAATACCATTAAAAAAATTCGGTCCGCTAGCGCATTATTAGCGAGACATTGAACTTTCTAAGGGGAGCATTTGAATGAGGGCTGTGGTTCCCCCTCAGGCAGATCAAAAAAAATTATTTTCGAATTTTCATTTGGAGCTTCACATAGAAACAGCTCTTAATGAGCATATTATTTTGTCAATGTTTCAGATGTTCTCATTTATTCCTTTCCTGCAATGAGAACATAAAGTTTTTGGTATATCTGAATGTAATTATCATAATTACAACTAAGGATAGGAACATCAATAAGGTGTAGAACTTTCATAAAATATTATGCTCATTAAGAGTTGTTTCTGTGTAAAATTTCAAGTGAAAATTCAAAAATCAGTTTTTTGATGTCTCTGAGGGGAACCACATCGCTCATTCAAACGCTTCCTTAAAAGTTCAGTATCTCCCTAACAATGAGCTAGCGGCCCGAATTTTTTTAATGGCATTCATATCTCAGTTTTACTAACATAACACACATAGTCTCAACTTAAAAACGATTGCACAGTTAGTGACCTTTCCACGTTAGTAGTACAGACTGAATATCTAAAAAATCCGTAATCTAGAAACTTCTATAGATAGCACTTACGAATAACTTATAGAAATCTGGCTTTTTGAGCCACATTAACATGTAATTAGAAGAACACATGCATAGTATTGAGGATAAAAATATTCAAAGAGGACAATGGATTACGTGTGATATTGCATTCACTATTCAAAGTATGTCCAACTTTGTATTGTTGTTATATCGTCTGATATGAAATGGGATGTCTAGTAGAATGTATTTTTAATAATAAACAGTTTTAACTGTTAATTAACAATATATTCATCTATCGTAATCATACTTTTTCATCACAGATCAAAACAGATATAAAATTATCCGTTTGAATTCGATTCAGTTTAGATTCATATTAGGGGTGTCAGTTTCGGGTTCCGTTCCTGGGAACGGGAACGCGCTACGGGTTCCGGGTTCCTAAGAACGGGAACCCGGTTGAAAATTCATTTCTATGCTTTTTTGAACACGCTCGAGTTCACAGATATACTTTTTCTTTCGTTTTGAGAAAGTCACTCAGGGTTCCCGGGTTCCTGGGAACGGGAACCCGTACCGGGTTCCGGGTTCCTAGGAACGGGAACCCACACTGGGTTCCGGGTTCCTAGGAACGGGAACCCAAACCGGGTTCTCCAAAACTGGGAACCTTACCTAAATTTCTGTTGTGAACGATTTGCAACAGGGTTCCCGTTCCTAGGAACCCGGAACCCGGTGTGGGTTCTCGTTCCTGGGAACCCGGAACCCAGTGTGGGTTCCCGTTCCTAGGAACCTGAAACCCGGTACGGGTTCCCGTTCCCAGGAACCCGGGAACCCGGAGTGACTTACTCAAAACGAAAGAAAAAGTATATCTATGAACTCGAGCGTGTTCAAAAAAGCATAGAAATGAATTTTCAACCGGGTTCGCGTTCCTTAGGAACGGAACTCCAAAGTACGGGAACCCTGACACCCCTAATTCATATCGCAAGAGATTTTATCAAATTTAATCTACTACAGATTCTTTCAAGAAATTTTCTCTCTGAACATTAGAATTTTCTACAGACTGCATTAAAACAAGTAACGTTCATCAATATTGAAGGTCGATTCCCTGAACCCTACACTCATAGAAGGATAACACCCACAACGCTTGATTTTTCCGGTGACTTGTGCCGAGTAAATGATCATTTTTGTCAATCCTGCATTACAGACAGACAGACATAGGTGAATCATGGTTTCTAGAGTCTAACCTTTCAATCNGAAATGACTATTTGACAAAATTCATTTTTCGACATAACCCTAAGGATGAATTTGTCGACGAAAAAAAAAGTTCGTTAAAAGATTTAAAAGATACTTGATTCGACGTAATTTTTTATGCTGATTCCGAATATGTAAAAAAATGAACAAACTTTTATGACAGTTTTCAGAAATCCAGCGTGGTTTTTCAAAGATCCTCTAGAAAACCGATCTTCGAGTTTTTTTTTGGAAAGATTTATCTTATGAAAATATGCGTCTGGGTCTTGGCTATCAAACGGTGAAAATCGCAGGTCTCTATCTTGTTCGTATCAAGAGTTATTCAAAAAGCAACCGACTGCCTTGAATTCTGGCACCGATAGTAGTTCAGAACAATCGAAGAATTCATCAGCACAAATGCCAATGCCAATAGCTCCTGCTATATGATAACAAGCACATGCACTATTTGTAGAACATCGATCATATTGTGATATCCCATTACAGAATTGAGATTTAACTTGAACTAGTAACATATTAATTAATAGTAGAATATGTAAAACGAAAATGAAACAATAATCAAACCTGTAAGGCTGAAAATGAAGAGACTTTAACATTAGATGAATAAGAAAAAAATGTTTTATAATAACCTGAATAGAACGAATACGAAACAATGGACTACTGTTGAAAACATCGTTTGTGTTGAAATGAGAAAGAATAGTCAAGACATCCATCTTTATATCTAATGAAGAGATAATATTTTTCGCATTAGTCCAAAGTGAAGTGCAAAACGTAATCCTTCGATAAACAAAAATCGATATTACTCAATTGCTTTCTTAAGAACTTAATTATCTCGGAAAAAGTAATCTTTATAGAAGAAAACAAAAAAGTGTCATAAAAATAATATGGGATTGCTTTTGCAATATAAACGCCATATAGGCTCGTGACACCATTCGAAACATGAATACTATTATTGCCACTCATCACCTCATTGTGCAAGGACATTTTAGGACAATTTCAAGGAAAAATTTTGTTTTTAATATTCATATTTTTATTGAACGCAAGTCTAAATGAATATAGTCAGCTATATTCATTTATATTTTGAACTGTGTTGTCGTTCCATCACAATAGTTTGCTTGTTCAACTGCATATATAAGTCTCATTTATGACACAATCGAGTCGAATTTAGAAAAAAAACTTCTATGTCAGAAAGTGGCACGGCGATGAGTACGGTAAATAGTAAGGTGCAGTGTGAGAAGGTATAGTTATAGGAGTGAGGAATGAGTGTAGATGTATTTCTCTTCAATGCCTACACCCTAATTGATTTTAAAAACATAAAACGACGATGAATTTTTTGCGTATGCCTATGGTTTGAATCTTTTCTCTTTCAAAGAAAATACATTAATCTATATTAGAAAATTCGAACATAATGGACAAATATCATGAGGATTAAAAAAAACTATAAGATTTTGAAACTTGAATTCTGTGTCAGTAACTCGATTTGAAATCTTGAAACATGCTTATCAGAAGAAAATTGTCAAAATGAATGTGCTAATTCTTGTTTATCGTTTCGTCATCCAGATCTCCATTTCTATTGTACTAGTCAAAAATCTTAGCAAACTGACATTCAACAACTGAAATTAAAGATGTGGATTCGGATAATGTTTAGATGTCTTTTCTCATACTCACATCCTGTTCACACGCGCGAATGGAAACAAAAGCTATTTTGTATGCATCATGGCAAATATGAAGCTCATGTACACTTGAGAACAGACTCAAATCATTCACATCAAGATAATTTTTGATAGAGTTTTTAAGGTCTTCTCATAGAGGATATCTACACAAGCGGTCTTAATGTGTATAATTCATTCATTCCACTCTACCAAATATTCTTGTTTTTGTTTCCAAAATCTTCCTATATCTCCAAGAGTGTGCGTCTTAGTATACATAAATATATTCTCTTGACTCATACTTCATATAGAGAAAATTTTGTTTTACAGCATAATCAATTCGAATCGAAAACAAAATATCTTTTTTCTTTCACGTAGAACATGTTTAGAAATAGCAACGTGATTGATTTTGGAATGTTACACCAGTCTAGATATTAATTAATTTACTCGATAATTTAAGTATTTACAATTAAACAAGTAGTATACATAAAAATAGGTAAGAAAATATTGGATTAATATTTTTTACCAGAGTCATTTTCCTTCGAAATTAATTTTGTATGTTTTCATTTAGTTTGATTTTCGTCTATAATTTCAATGAACAAGTTCCATATCATTTTCTAAACATACATATTTGAAACTATTTATTTTTATTGTCTTCTTAATAATTCTTAGCTAAATCTTAATGCTTGTTGCAAGAAAAGCATCATCCCTATGTAATGACATTCAACTGTCAGAACAGAGAAAAAATTGAAGAAACTAAAATTTGGGTAATCTCTTTATCAACACCCACATCTATTTATTATATACTTAGGACATACCAAAAGTAGTGGCGTCGACCCTGTAATATTTTATAGAAAGCTTTAGGAAACTTTTTCTCTATATATTCTGATAGGCCAAGTCGTGCTCTATAATTCTACGATATTTCACAAATCTTCAAAGGATACTATAATATTGAAAATATAGCAAAAACAGTGAGTAGTTTACAAAAAACAATTTTGCCTGGGTTTTGATCGATTTTCTCTTGAATAGCCAGACTTTTGATTAAAAAAAATAATATATTTGAAATCAGCACAAAAAACTGAGTCGATGTATGTATGCTGCAAAATGCTTCATGGACTTTTATTTTCGTCGGGAAATTCAGCTGTGGTCTCCTCAAGGATGCGTCAAAATTTCCCGACGAAAATAAAAGTCCATGAAGCATTTTGCAGCATACATACATCGACTCAGTTTTTTGTGTTGATTTCAAATATATTGTTTTTTCAATCAAAAGTCTGGCTATTCAAGAGAAAATCGATCAAAACCCAGGCAAAATTTTTTTTTGTAAACTACTCACTGTTTTTGCTATATTTTCAATATTATAGTATCCTTTGAAGATTTGTGAAATATCATAGAATTATAGAGCACGACTTGGGCTACCAGAATATATAGAGAAAAAGTTTCCTAAAGCTTTCTATAAAATATTACAGGGTCGGCGCCACAACTTTTGGTATGTCCTAAGTAAAAATGAACTATTGACTTTTATTTGAAAATTTCAATGACTAGGGTGTGGGTGTGGGCGTGATGTGAATGAGTGTGCAAACGTGAGTGTGAAAAGTTATTCTTTCACACGTTCCACACCCACACCCTCAAGATAGGTGATTAAAATCACTGCCTATCAGAGATGTCAATTTTTGATATTTTTTCTACTTTCGACATTTTTCCATTCTAAATTTTTTCGTTCTACATTTTTCCTCCTGTACGCTCTTTTTCCATATTTTTACTTTCGACCAAACTATGGCCAACCGTTTTTTCCATATTTTATCTGAATTTATTTCGTCTTTTGAAAAAATCTGACTACTACTGTCCATTTCAAAAGAGAAGGCGGGTGGGTAATTTTTGAATAAATTTTGGTAGAAACAAGATAGAGAGCAGCGGTTTTCACAATTGGAAAGAGAAGATGAAAACATATCGAACCACATAAGACAATGACTTTTTATTTGGATTTTTGAAACTTTTTGCAATAGTTGAACAAAGAAATATCTTAAAAACAGGTGTGATTTCTCCAGAAAGAACTGAGTTTCTTTACAGATATTGCTGGCAATGTGGACTAAAATTGTCGAGTGTAGTAGGGTGTGAGTGTAGATATTCTTTTCACTCACACCCACACTCTGAAACTTATGAAACATCCTTTAAAAGAAGTGCAATAAAACATGGGTATATTAGCAAAAGGTAAAAGCAAGAAGAAAAGAAAAAGGAAATAACGCATGAAAAAAACTTCAGTGGATGGGTTTTTTCTCTTTGCTTTCGTAATACGATGCGTGTTCTGCTTATGCACGTTGCCTTAGAAAATATTTTTCACCTATGTAAATATGCCTTATAAGATGACAAGAATCAAGAGAAGGTCAGTTTTTTTTTCTTCTACTACAAAATAAGCGAGCACATAATAAAACTCCATTGTTTTGTACAATAAAAGAGGTAAGTAAAAAATGAACTTTAGTGCTGTGATGAAATGAATAAAAAAGTACATTGATAATGAAACCGTATTTTTAGTTTTTTTTCAACCTAATAGTGAAACCATGATCGATAGGATGAACTATTAATCTCGATTTCTCTAGTAAAGTACACGACCAAAAGATAAATATATCACAAAAATGAAAGCAGCGTTTTTTTTTATTTTATTTCATAAACCAAATAAATCACTATTCATTTTCAGAATCATCATCTAATGGCGAATACATCTTTAATTACATTACCTATAGAATTAATTCATCGTATTCTAAACAATCTTGATGTGTACTTTATAAATGTTTCAGTTCGGAAAGTGTGCAAACGTTTATATCTATTTGTCAATTTTTATAATCGATATGAATTTGACCTCGATTTATTATCAAAATCTCGTTTGAAAATCATTTCTCGCTTTATACAACCAGAAAGAATTACTTCACTAGTACTTCTTAATCGATCCTATGCATTGGAAAAAATCAAGTTCTTCTTTTCACTCTTTGATATAAATCAATTAACACAACTTCGATCAATTACATTAGGTCAATTTGACCAATTAAAAGATGCCGAATTTTTACAGCATCTAACCATTTCTAACTTGGTTTCAATAAATATTCGTTCAACTTCTGCAGATAATCGAAATCAATTACCTTTTATTTCCAAAATTATGAATCAATCAAGTTTTCTTCGAATGTATTTAGCTGAATCATATTACAGCATTTCGTTAATACCTTGGACAAATCCATGTTCAATAATATATCTCACTATAAAATCATGTTCATTAAAGGAATATGATCTTCTTCTGCAACGTTTACCATATTTACGAACATTTAGTACAGGAGAATTTATTATTGATAAATTGAATCAGTTAAATTCCTCACCTTCTATTTTAAAATCCTATTCACAATTGATGTCATTAATGATTGAAAATGGATCTTTGTCAATGACCGACTTTGAATTAATACTCTCCCTAACACCATCACTTACCAGACTCAAACTCATTTCCTACAAATCAAATTTATTTTCTATTGCAAATGGTTCTGATTGGGAATATTTAATTCATAATAAATTGCCAAATCTTAAAATGTTTGAGTTTTTCTTTTCTTATCGTCTACAAAAAGAAAACGAGGCAGAAGATCTTACTTTATTTCTTAATCAATTTCGAACTTTATTCTGGTTGAAGGAAAAAAAATGGATTGTAACATGTGACTATGTTTTAAAACAAAATGTTATCTATATCTATACAACACCTGTATACACTAAAGATTTTGAACAACAATTGCAATCTATCAAGAAAACCTCTCAACCTTTTCCTTTTATACTGAGATTTAAATTTTTATCGATGAATAATGAATTTCATTCAACTATTCATCTTATACATGGCATAGATGATGTTGCAGAACCGCGAGTATGTAGTATAATTCTGCTGAAAAAACAGAATTTTTTTTTTTTTTATTATTATATAAGGAAAAACCTGTTGATATAATTCCTCACGGGATTAAAAATATGAAACACAATAAATCTATTGTTAGTAAATGTTTGTTTCTTTTTTGATCTTTCAAAACCACAATTCCTCTGTTGCCGTCTGTGGAAAACACGATGGCAATATAAAAAAAATGTAGTAATTAAAGCATGATTACTATCAAAGTGAAAGTTCTTATAGACATTCTCTTTCTAAATTCTTCAGTAGCTGATTTATCTATTGGGAATTTTCGATGCCTAAACTATATACTGTTTTATTCAACGATTAAAACTTCCTAATTATACAACTAATGAGACATTTCACTCGTTTGAGTGTAATTCACTACCCTGTTTTTCAACGAAATAATCGAAAAATTTAGATTTATGAGTTATTTCAATAGAAACAGAGAATAAATTTTTAACATAGGAGAAAAGTGCAAATTTTTAAAAAATTTTAACTACAGCCTTGAGGATAGTAGTTGGAAAAATCTTTCTAAATATGGTTCAATGCATTTTTATCTGTTCTTTCCAGCAGTAAAAACTCCATGTATCTATATTGTTCTAACTAAAAGTTATTCGAAAAATATCCACGGGGATCTAAGTCTGAAATAGACAATAGTAATAGATATAAGAAAAATATCGTAGCTTTTACATTGTTTTTTGAAAATCACTCTGTACCTTACAGTAACTGGAAGGTAAAATATTCAGTCTACTATACTTATAACAAATCTTTACCTAGTACTGCAATTATGAATGGACAGTACTATGCTGGGAATCGAAAAGATGGAGCATTTTGCATAAAGTCTAGATAGACGAAAGCAAATAAAAAATAATAAGAATTGTTTCTGATTGATAAATTCTAGTAAAAAATCATTACAGTAGCTGAAAATTAAATGAATCCTTTTTGAATATTTGAGTATAAGACAACGTATTTCAATATTCATTATAGTCCCGATTAAATATTATTATATGTATATTGATTTTTGAATATAGACATTTATGAATTTGAACATGACACATCAAAATATTGGAAAACAAGAAGCAAAACATCTGGCTTATGCATTACGAAACAATAAAGTAACTATCAGACATTCTCATCATAGATAGAACATTCGTTCATTGTTATTATATAGACAATCCGACGTATTGAGCTAGGTTCTAATGCTATAGGAGAAGAAGGTGTAAAATATATTGCTGAAGTTTTAAGAAATAATACGGTAATACTAATATCTATACATTTCATTCTTGATTTATTTTTACGACAAAAAAAATTTGAAAGACACTGATTTACCTTGATCTAAGAGACAATCAAATCGGAGCCAATGGAGTACATGTTCTGAGCAGTGAATTGCAAGAAAATACGGTAACTCTTTTCATATTGACACTACAGTTATTTTTTTCACTGTTATTAATTATATAGACAATACAACATATTAATCTAGAAAAAAATGGAATTGGAGAAGATGGTACACGATATTTAGCTGAAACAATAACATCAATTAAAGTAATTGTTTATCTGATTTTTCTATAACTTGCATATACTTTTACTTATATGTTAATACCATAAGACACTTATTGGACTGCGTCTTGGAAAGAATCAAATTGGAATTCGTGGAGTTCAATATTTGAGTAATGCATTACAACAAAATATGGTTATTATTATTTATTTCTATTATATTCAAATAATTGATTTATCCTTATGAAATAGATCATCAATCATATTCATCTCGAAGAGAATGAGATTGGTGAGGAAGGTGTGCGATTTCTAGTTGAAGGTTTAAAAAATCATACGGTGATTTTAAAATAGAGAATTTTTTATTTTACTATTTGGTTTATTTTAAAAGACACTTGTTTCCCTTCAACTTGGAGGCAATAAAATTGGAGACAAAGGAACAGAATATCTTAGCAATCTATTAAAAAATAATACAGTAACTTTATTTCTTCTATACTTTTCATCTTCTATTTTTATCTTTTAAAAATAGATACTTACATCACTTTTTCTTGGAGGAAATCACATTGAAACCAAAGGAGCACAATATCTAGCCGAATCACTTCGAAACAAAATGGTAATCATGAATTAACATTGTTTTTAAGGCATTTCATTATTTAACTGTTGTAAAACATGTTAAAAGTACGCGTGAAAAGTCATTGCCTAATACAGTTCGATACATTTTCATCTGCTGTCTCTAATTGTGAAAATCATAACTCTCTATCTTGTTCCTATCAAAAGTTATTCGAAAAATATCCACTCGCCTTTTATTTTGAAACGGGCAGTAGTTAAGTTGAAAGCTAAATTTCTAGAAGAGTTCGAGAATATCAAAACAATTTCCTTTACATTAGTTTATCTCAAAGCATCTAATTCAAAAATATTCTAAATTTCTATAGTGACTTTTGGATCACAGCAGTTGTTGTGTTGATAATTTCTTCAATTTTAACATTTGTATTTTGTTTTTTCATTATATCTATAAAAAGAAACTAACTAGACTTGATCTCAGAGGCAATAAAATTGGAGACCAAGGAGCACTTTATATGGCCGATGCTTTACAGAACAACATGGCAAGTATTCATTGTATATAATTTTTCTCAAAATTTCGATTATTTTGTCTCATAGATTCTGAGAGTGTTGAATCTTAGTTCCAATGAAATTAGTGCAGCAGCTGCAGATCGTTTCTATGAATGTTTTCAAAATAAAATGGTAATTTTCCTACATTACATATGGTTTATTCAATATATCTAAATGTTTTTATATATAGAAACTTATGCAATTCGATCTAAAAGGTAATGATGAATGTGATGCTGCTGCTATGTACGCAAGTTTTCAAATACGAAACAATAAGGTTATTATTATTTTTTCTTCATTTTGTACTGTTTTCAAATGTATGTCCATGTTTTCTGTACAGAAAATGATCGTATTAGATCTTATATCGAAAAATATCAGCGATAAAGGAGCTAAATATATCGCTGATGCTTTAGAAAACAATACGGTAAGTAATAATTATTTATTTATTTTCTTGTAGTATTCGTTCTGTTTAGACTCTTCAAGAAATCGATCTACGATCAAATCGTATTGGAGAAAAAGGAGTAGAAGATCTTTGTAATGCTTTGAAAAATAATAGAGTAACTTTGCGAATATTCATTTATTTTTTCTTTTAAATAATTTTTCATTATATAGACTTTAAAGAAGCTTTATTTCGTTGATTATCGGAATTATCAATTTTGTTTCCTTGAAAAAGCTATTCGCATTAAAAATCAGAAGGTTATTTTAAATTCTTTTTCGTATTCAACATAGTCTCATATGCATTATATCAAATAGAATATCAAGGAGCTGATATTAAAAAAACAAAAACTCGAAAATCAAAGTATTCAATATTTGATCGAAGCACTACGACACCATTCAGTAAGTCTCATCCATTTTCATTTGACAATGTTTCATCATGATTTTCATGCAATAATTAATCGTAATTGTTTTATTTCGGGGACAAAAAAAAAAAGACTTAAAACTGACAAAGAGCAAGCATGTATCGCTGTGCCTACAAATCGAAATATCATTTTCCAATTATCAATAAAGTAATCGTTTATCTTGTATTATTAGGTTATTCAGACAATTGATCTATCAATCAATAACATCGATGACCAAGGATTACTCTGTTTGATTGATATCTTAAGAACAAGCACGGTGCGTATCTGTTGATATTTCTTTATTTCTCTCTTTTTTCTTTTTATAGTCTGTTTATACATTAAAATTAAATCAAAATCGAATTACTGATATAGGAGCAACATATATAGGTGATATGTTAAAAGAGAACAAGGTATTATTTATTAATGATTTATTTTCGTTTACATTTGTAGTCATTCCAGACTATTAATGTACTAGAGCTCGATTCAAATCAAATTCAAGACAAAGGAATGGAAAATCTTGCTGATGGAATTATAAAAAATACTGTGTGTTCTACTTTATCTTCTATGCACTTATCAGAGATAATTATTTTCTTTAGACACTTAAAATACTTAGTTTAACACATAATCCTAGTGTTTTATGTAAAGTACTAGAATCATTTGTAGCTATGAGACATAACAAAGTAATGTCAGTTTTCCTAAATTTTATTCTAATTTTTTAACGCTTATTTCTTACTACAGCAGTTGAAAGTATTACACCTCTATTCAACACCTATCGGAATCATTGGTGCAAAATATCTTAGCTTAGCTTTACATGATAATACGGTTTATATTATTCATTATTGTTTTCCATAATATATTTTAGTAATCTAGACTATTACTGAATTAGATCTTAGTTACTGCAAAATTGAAAAACAAGGAATAGAATATCTTGTTGATGCACTGAATTATAATAAGGTAAACTTTTATTATTTGATTTAATAAATTTCATTTTTCATATTGTTTAAAACTAGATATTGATTCAAATCAATCTTAAAGGTAATCAAATTGGAAATACAGGAGTACAATGTCTAACAGATGTATTACAACAGTATCCGGTATTTATTATGGTTTCATTTTGTATTTTTTATTTATTCTAATTCCGTTTATTGCATTCATAGACTTTAGTTCGACTGTATCTTGGAGACAATCAAATCGATGATCAAGGAGCTCAATATTTGGCTTATGTTTTAGAAACTAATATAGGAAGTATCAATAATTATTATACTTCAATATTGTATTTATTTATTATAGGTACTTGAAGAATTACATCTTGATAGCAATAGTATTACAGGACAAGGAACGAAACATCTTGCCGATGCACTAAATAAAACAAATGTAATTATTGATAACTTAGTTTCATTAGTTTTCACTTCTACATTATTTAAAACTAGAGATTAATTACATTAAACCTCGACAATAATCTAATTGGAGATGAAGGAGCATTATATTTAGCTAAAGTATTACAACATCATCAAGTATCTATCGATTTCTAACTCACTATTACTCATATCTATCACTTTTTTAATCATACACATATAGACTCTCACTACACTTTTACTTGACAATAATCATATTAAAGACCAAGGAGTTCAACATTTAGCTCATGCTTTAGAAACCAATAGAGTAAGTATCAATAACTACTGTCTATATCAAAATAAAATAGAGTTAGTTGTTTGTTGAATAACTCAGCAATGCTAATATCTATCAATCTCAAGTTTTCGCATTTACCAAGAGCATGAATGCGGATACATGTCTATCTCAAAATCAAAATATTTGAAAAGTTTTTTTCAGAGTTTTACGTATTTTCTGGAAAATAACTGTCTGATTCACTTGATTAGAGGTATTTTCAAGTAATTCCTTTTGCCGGTCAATATCTAAGGTAGGGTCAAAAATTCAGTAAAATGATCATAAATGTTTCAGAAAAAATCGAAAACATCTAAAAAGTTTCGAAGTTTATAAAGCAGATACTGGGGTACGATGTGACTAAATTGAAACTGAAAATATAAATGTATTTTGATTCTTAAATCGACTTGTACCGTCACTAATGCTCTTCGTAATTGCAAAACCTCGAGATCGATAGCTATCAGTATTGCCGAGTTATTCAAGAAAAAATCGCCTACACTTTATTGTGAAATGGATAGTAGTTGTTTTTACATTTCTTTCTTCGTCTGTTATAGGTACTTATCAGATTGAATCTTCAAAAGAATCAGATCGGAGATGAAGGAGCGAATAGTTTCATTAATGCACTCACAAATAATACAGTCAGATCTTACATTATTTTAGTATTTAAAACTTCATTTTTTAATTTAGAATCTAAAATATCTCTATCTGAATGATAATAAATCTGTTGTTTGTAATGCTATATCAGTTGTAATGAATATTCGGAATAATACAGTAATCTATGAGTCTTCAATATTATTCTTGTTAATTCATGATCTTTTTCTAGTACTCCAATTATTTTGATCTAAACTTTTATGAAATTGGAGATAATATAATTGAACTTTTAACATTTTTTTTACAAAAAAATACAGTAATCATCGATTAATTTCTTGTTTAATATGAATATTTACTAATGTTATTCAGATCATTCGAAGAATAAGTCTGATTAAAAATAAAATAAGTGATAGAGGTGCACAAATTTTAGCTTCATTAATAAGAAATTCTACGGTAATCATATTATTTGCTTCCTATATGTCATACTTGATATGAATATCGATAATAGGTACTCGAAAGCTTAGATATTCGATCAAATCATATTGGAGATCAAGGAGCTTATTATCTGGCGGATGCTTTGCTAAATAATACGGTAATATAGAGAACTTTAAAGTCCTAATCTTTCTTTTTTGTGTCACAATTTTTTTCTCAGATATTAACTACACTTAAACTTCGTGGAAATGAAATTGGACCTTCAGGCACAAAATATTTGATAGATGCTCAACAAAATCGAACTGTGAGTCTTTGTTAATCTTTTCTAATTTGATTAGAAGATTTTAAATTCAATTTAGACACCTATTCAACTAGAAATCAACGGTAAACATATTGAATTTCCGTTTTTGGAATATTTTTTAAATGAAAATATTCTACTACTCGAATCTCTTCACTTTCACTCATTTTTTCATCACTAATGATGTTAAGACAAATATTATTGATTTTATAATAACCAACTTACAGATTCATATCTTGATGAACAGTACTAACACATAAGTAGAAGAAGAGCATATGCATATTATTGAGGATAAAAATCGTAAAATAGAACAATGGATTATAAATGATAAATTCAAAGCATGTCCAAACTTGGTTATATCTTTCGATATAAAATAATGTATTTATCTACCTTAGCTGTTGATTATTTATTAGCATCTACTAGATTTTGAATATTCATATGATTGTTGATTAACGAACATTCTATAATTTCCGTTGCAAATAAGTTTTTTCACATTGAATCCGAAATTAAATGATTATTAACTATTGTGGTAGCAGTATTCATAAGTATTCTATTCTAGAAGGTACAAAGAAGGCATGAAGATCTTTGATAGAATAGTTTACAACTGTTTATCAAAAAAAATATTCTAGTTAACTTAGTAAATTTGTATCAAGCAGTTACTTCTAATCAGGATTCATTATATTCAACAATAATAATCAGATTCGATATTTCTCATTTCGAATAGATTGATAGGAAGCTAACATCAGAACGATATTCTCGTACTTATTAAAGTTTTAGAATTCCTAGTTGAATAATCAATATGAATAGATCTATTTTTACATTATTCATGATATATACCATAAAATCACTTCAAGTGTTTCATAAATGAAGCTCTAATCCTAAAAGATAAAGTATCAAAATCAAAACGATCGTTAAATGTTGACTTTTTAACGTGAAAAGACTGCAAACAGTTGTGATACGAAAAAGAATCATTGACTCAACTCTATCTTCTTTTCTAACATATAACAGTTTTAATTGATTAAACAAGTAGATAATTATTCTTTCTTTGTTTTGTTTTGATTTTTACAGGTACGTTGAAACTGCAATGTTCAAGTGGACATCGTCTCAAGCTCTATGACTCGAATATACGTAGGAGAAAGTTTCAAAATCAACGTGCAGTAGTAAAAATTTTGTGTGATAAATGTTTGAGAGAAATTCGATCTTTATCATGGTGTTGCGAATGTTCAAGGGAATCATTCGACATTTGTGAAGAATGCGCGAACAAAACGGATTAAAAAATGATCGTCGTCAAATTATATGAATATAAAACTGAAAAATTATTCAATTGTTCTTTTTTTCTTGGAGTACTTACTATTGAAATATATACATATATTTAATCACTAATATAAAGATGGACGTTTTTTTTTCCTAGCAGCATTTGTAGATGGGCGTG